GCTGCCTCTGTGAAAAGCTGGGTTGCGCTTTTCTTTTAAATGCATTAATAGTGCTGAAAGCAGAGATGAGAACTCTCCATTATGCTTTTAATTCCCAGGGTTTCTGATTGCCGGGAGCTGAAGCAAGACAGATGAAGGACAATGAAGCAATACCTCTGCCTTCCTTTTTGTACTTCTTCCTCTGTGTGTGTGTGTGTGTGTGCGCACATCCAAATATGTGTGTGTGTGTGTACCTGTGTGTGCAAGTGTGTGCGTATGTGTGTGTGTGTGTGTATATATATTGTATATTCTTAATGTTGTAAAGTATAATATTTATGTCTCGAATTATTTATTTTTGATTTAATATTTTGGTACGTAAAATGTTTATATTAAGGCTGCTTATCCTGTGTGTTTTTTTAATTTTTTAAAAAATCCTGCAGTCACACCACTGCATTTTACGTACTCTACATTATATGTAGCATTATGACAAAAGTGATACTGTTTACTGTCACTGTACTCAATTGTTTACTTTCAATCAGTAATTTCTCTTCCTGTTACAGGCTGCACTGATATTTGCAAGGTGCTAAACGGTTTGCATTGGGGTATTTTTGGCATTTTTTTTCTTATGAGCAAAAGAATACAATGATGATTGCGATGATTATTTTGAAACTCACAAGGCAATCAGCGCTACACAGGGACTCAGTGAACACACATTATGATACAATGGTTTTATCAACAATTGTTTCTTAGGTGTGTTTTTTTAATGGCATGTGACCTCTCTTGGCCAGTGCTAACAGCTACTGGTTTGGTGCTAACATGGTAATATTTATTAGTATCCTGTAGGCTTTAAAAGCTGAATCCCGTACCATACTAAGGAGAACGAGTAAGTACATTAGGGAAAATTGAGGGTGCGTTCAAATATTTAGTCTGAGGCAGCATTTAATAAAACAAAGTGTTCTAGGGAATCCTAGTATTCTCAGTCCTTCATAAAGAGCTCCTTCCCAAAGAAAAGATACATAACATTTGCCTGAAACTATTAACCTTGCATTGTGCATCCACAGGAGACTACTGGTGTAATACTAGGCGTGTACTTGCAGTTTGGATTGGGGCAACAGCCCCTAGTCCTGGTGACCAGCACCCCATTGTGAACCGTTTGTACTCCCTTCCTTTGTCCTGGGATCCTGTAGCAGACACAGTGATATAGAAACAGATCTCTCCTCAAGTGGAGGAGGCCATCAAGGCTGGGAAATGTCCTATCTTCCAGGCCTCAGATGTGATCACCTTGCATTCTTCTGGATGAGTTTCATCCCCAGTTGACTTCCTGCATCATAACTGAGGAGAGGCAGGCCTCCGTTGAGGCTCCAGGAGTTTGAACAAGAACCAAGAAAGAAATCTACAGATGGGGAAAGAGCTGCAGCACCAAAGATGATTTCAAACAAGTAGCCAAAGCTTGTAGGGGAGAATGTCAGGAAGGCTAAACCTCAGAAGGAACTTGACCTTGTGACAGATGTTAAAAATAGTTAAAGGGGATTATATTTTTGCTCTGTTTGGGGCAATAGGAAGAATAAAAGAAAGGTAGATAAGCTGAGTAGAGAAGATGGAGAAATGTTAGCGAGTGAAAGAGAAGGCAGAGATGTCCATCCCCAACTTGGCCTCACCTTCTCCCATAAAGAAACCTGGAGCAAAGTAGATCAGTCTTTGAGTTTTTGAAGGACTGTGACAGTAGATGATGGAGCAAATTTGTATTCTGTTCCTTCAGATGGTAGGACCTGAACCCAGTGGGTTCAAATTGCAGCAAAAACAGTTCCTGTTCATTCCTGGCCCAGCATATTGAGGGACACTTTGGAAAGACACAGGCCTTCCCCCTATCCCATGCCCTTCTGCAGTAAAGATGCCCACCCCAATCCACTCATGCACAAGGGAGAGCAGAAGCTGGGTGGGGAAACGCTGCTGAGAATGGGGCCTGACTGCCCTAAAGGATCTCTGTTGCAGCAGACCAAAGACTCTCCTGCAAGAGGATATAGCAATGCCTGGCAGAAGCCTCCAATATTGCTCCCATGGAGCAAAAGAGTAGAGATGTGTTTTGCCAGCTGTGTCTCCTCCCCCTGATGGAGTGTCACGCCTGGCAGGCAATGGAAGGATTCCCTTTTCCTACAGTCGTAGCAGAAGGAGAAGGCGCTCCAGGGCGCCAAACTTGATGAGGTGGCCTTAAGGTCACAGTCAAACTGGCTGTCTTGGTCATGCTCATGACCAGAAGCAGGGGCCTGCAGATCACTATTCCCTCAGTCACAGGGGTGAGTGCTACACCTGCAGCCAGTCCAGGCTAAGGCCTAAGGCATAGGGAGTGTTCCAGAAAAAACTGAAATGGTTGCTGCATGGGATCAGTGTTAGGTTAATCCCACAAATCATAGTTGAAGCCGAATAATTAACCCTGGGTTCAGTTCCCAAAATGAATCCTGTTTTCTTTTTAGTGAGTGTTTCAAGGTTTGGGAAACGAACGTACTTCTGAAAAAATATGAATTATCAAGAACCCCAGTACTCCCTGAAAGCATAACACACATTTCAAATGTGTACATAGAAATTCAATTTTTTTTAATGGTATCAAAGTTTGATGTTTTTTATGCAGAGTGAACTGTGTTTCCTCTTCCGTGTCAGAAATTCAGTTTTAGCCAATTTCTTTTGGAAACCAAATTATCTTGACTCCAGTCAAACTCTATTCGTGCCTCACTAGTAGCATGCAAAAACAAATGACCCAGCATACTGATTCATATCCCCACCCTGTCAAAAGGAGAACCCAGCTAATGAGTATAGATGGGGTCTTACAGGTGGATAATAATGGATTCATATATGCATCTGTATGCATGCTATGGCTGTTTCTGTGAAAGGTTTCTCCCATGTCTTGGATCTTCTAGCTGTATCATAGCAT